GGGGGGGGGGGGAGGGGACGCAAACTGCATGTCCCCTCTGGGGAAATCAAGGCCGTGCTCTCCATGTGATGATTTTGACGAGTCTCCCGCAGCAAATAGACCTTTTTTCACGTTGTGCTTTTTTATTCCTTTGCTCATTTATTTGCTCTTTTTGACGTGAGCCTATGCTTCGAACGGTGAATTCTGCTGCCTTTTTGCGGTGGTGACGCCCCTACTTTGTTCTCCTTTTTCTGTGGGAGAATATGCTCAAAATATCACTTTTATGCTATCATCGTCCAAAAAAATGGCCCATAGAGGTCCTACCGGAATCCTTTGCCTTGGCACCCAGAACTACAGAACTTTCGCTTCGCCCCCCCTCCCCTTTCACTTTATATAAACCCAACCCTGCTATGCCCTTTTTTGCCCCCGTCGCAGATGCTCAAGATCGGCCGCCCCTCGAAGTACCAGGGTCCCGCGACCCCATCGTCCACTTGGCAGCGGCTGACCGGCCAGGAGTCAGCTGACAACGTCGTCGACCCCTCAACGAAGGTCTACCGGTGAGTGAGTGACGATTGACGAACGATTAATGTGGTGTCATCAGTAGTAAGAACAGTATATTCGAAGGTCTACCGGTGAGTGAGTGACGATGGACGAACGATTAATGTGGTGTCATCAGTAGTAAGAACAGTATATTCGAAGGTCTACCGGTGAGTAGTGACGATTGACGAACGATTAATGTGGTGTCATCAATAAAAACACTTACTGAAAATACTTCACCACATCCCTTTCGACTGAGGTTGTATCTCAAACGGGTACAATAGTCTTTCTGGGAGGTTATGGTTACTTTCTAAAAAACAAGGTATTGGTGAACAAGAGATGGAGCTTACTTACGCGAGAGTCAGAAATACTGTTGATTGTCGCTGCGTTGTTTCTGCTGCTGGTGCACGGTGTGTATGTGTGTGTGCGTTTGTTGTTGTGTTGTAGCATCGTCGACCGCGCTACACGGCTGACCAATGATCAGACGCCAGTCTCGTAGGGAGACGAAGAAAAACACGAACACTTTCTAATGAACGGACTTTCTGATGAACAGGTAAGTGAGGGTTGTACAGACAGAGGGGGCGCAATAGTTGGACGACAGTGTTCTGCTTCTCAAGTACAAGGAGAAGACTCAATCCTATTCAGGCGGCATTGCCGCTCCATCATCTCGTTGTCCCATGCTAACATCATCGCCAGGTTTGGAGTGCGTGTATGTGTCTTTTATTATTAGTAGTAGCATCGTTGACCGTGCTAACCGGGTAACCAATCAAAATACGCCAGTCTCAGTGCGGCTAAATACGGAACACGCTTCTGAAGGCCATGGTGTTGAACCCCCGTGAGGGGGCGGGGGCTGGGCTGTTTATGTGTGTTGTTGCTCCAGTGCTTGAGGTCAACTAGTGCGTGAGTGCTCGAAACCGCGATCCTCTCTGTTGCAGTGTAAACTTCCGTGTTTTTTCACGTCTGACAGCGGACGACAACCACTCTGTTATGCCCCCCCTCTCCGTACATGTGCTCCTCTCCCTTTTGCGTGCAGGGAGCTCTACATCGGCAACACGAGCCCGGACATGACGGACATGGTGCTCAAGGACTTCCTCAGCAGCACCATGCAGAAGGTCGGACCAAGAGCACGCTTGAAAGCGCTTTTCTAGTGAAACGTTCCTCTGGTGTTAGGGTGGGGCGGAGGGGAGTGGTAGTACCATGCAGAATGTCGGACCGAAGGCCGCTTTGAAAGCGTCCCCTTTTTTGTTGGGGTGGGGGGGAGCGGATGTAGTAGTACACCATGCGGATGGAGGAAAAGTAGCGATGAAAGCGTTCCTTTGGGGTTGGGATGGGGGGGGGTATGCATAGCACCAGGCACAAAGGAGTTTTTGAGTACAATCGCAGGGTGTGAGCGCATCCGCGCCTCGAGTTGCTGTGTCGTTGTGTCTCTTCGGCTCGGCTTGAACTCGACCTGAATCATGATTTTTCGATTGCGTCGGGGGGATGTTTCTGGTCTCGTGCCCTTTCTGGCGTGTCTACAGCACTTATCTCGGAAGAGAAAAAAGTTCGTCGGAGTGAGAACGTATCACCCCCGACGCTTTTCGATGCCTGGTGATGGCGAACGCTCAGGGCAGTTAAAGCGAGGCAGGGAAACAACTCTCAAGTGTAGCAGCGCACCCGTCGCCTGGGGTGGGGTTGGCAGTGGAGTTCCTTCCCGCATTGACAGGTTCGATGCTTTGTCGTGGCGTACACCGACATCGCTTGCCTCGTTATCTCCCCCCTGTGTCTGTTATCCGAACTTCCCACTGACGTACTACCCCCCCCCCCGTTTGCTCCCATCCGCGCAACCCCTCGGCTCTACACCAGGTCGGTTTCTCTCAGAAAGAGGGAAGCCCGATCATCCACGCCAGGGTGTCCGGAAACTTCGCGTTCGTGGAGTGCCGCACTGTAGAAGAGACGACCGCCCTTCTCAACCTTAACAACATCCCCTTCCTGGGACAGGTGGGAAGAAGCGTAGCGTTCGCGTGGCGTAGCCCTGCCGTAGCCTTGCCGTAGCCTTGCCGTAGCCTTGCCGTAGCCTTGCCGTAGCCTTAGCGTAGCCTTGCCGTAGCCTTGCCGTAGCCTTGCCGTAGCCTTGCCGTAGCCTTACCGTAGCCTTACCGTAGCCTTACCGTAGCCTTACCGTAGCCTTACCGTAGCCTTACCGTAGCCTTACCGTAGCCTTGGCTTGGTTCAAATCTCTCGCCACGTTGGGGTGCGTTGTACCACGCAACAGCGTGGAAGAGAGTCGGGACAGATGCATGGGTACAATAGTCGGACGGACAAGCGCGAAACTCAAGCAAGCATCGCTCCCCTTGAATTGTCTGTCGTGATGTGCGTGTACGTTTTTTCGCGTCTGTTTGTTGTTCGAAGCTTGTTTGGTGCTCCCGTTGTGTCATTTTGTGCTCTAAATTTGCGCAGTCTTGGTCTCTCTCATCACACCCCCAGCCGTGAAACTTCTCGGTGGCACAACGAGCCAATTAGGTAGGGAAGCTTGTTTGCGCACATCGTACATTTTTCTCATGGCAGCAAAGCGCTAGCTACAAGGGCTTGGGGTGTTCTTCCCGCGCGGGTCATCCAACATGCTTGATGTCAAAAGCGTTGGAAGGCGTTAGCCCTCCGAATTTTGCGACAGCTCCCGTGACGTGTTCGTCAGCACTGCTGAAATAACGTTTGTTAATACTGTTGTTGTGCTGTTGCGATTAATCCCATCCGTGCACTCCCCGTCCCTTTCACTCTACTTTTTGCGTTTTTCCGATGCCCAGGAGCTGAAGATCAACCGTCCTTCCAAGTACCCCGGACCCGACACGCCTCATCTTAACTGGCCCGATGTACTCGCCAGGTAAAATAAAGTACAAATAAACGATTTTTTACGGCGGTAAAAGTAGTTGTGGCAGTAGTGGAAATGTGGTGGGTTGGTTCACAAATCTGGGAGCCAAGAGGGTGAGATTGTTTCTACACGATTGAGATATGGAGAATTTGACTTTCCGGGCCTCCGTTGGTTGAAGCTGTTTCCTTTGCAGCCAGAAGCGTGAGCAGTCGTGGGTGACGTTTTTTTTTTTTTTCATCAGTATGACCACAACGAATCCATGTTGGATGAACCTTGACGTTGAAGTAGCCAGGCATTTCGCCGAATGCGGGTTGAATTGAGGCCACCGTTTGTGGCTCGGGTCCACCGTAGCGATGCAGGTTTTTGAGATTGTTTCTCTTGTTTTTTTTTCTCTCTACATGTGTTGAAACGTTCCTGTCTTCTTCTCTCCGCATCACCCCCCCCCCCCCCCCACACATGGAACCAAGAAAAAAAAACCCCCAA